TACCCGTGGGATCGTTCGACTCCACGGAGTGCCTGTTACTATCGTGTCAGACAGAGATCCCAGATTCACTAGCAGATTCTGGCAGAGTTTGCACAAGGCGATGGGCACGAAGTTAGCATTCAGTTCAGCCTACCATCCAAAGACATACAGTCAGACAGAGAGGACCATTCAGACGTTGGAGGATATGTTACGGGCTTTGGTTGTTGACAGGGATGCTAAGTGGGAGTCGTTATTGCCATATGTGGAGTTTGCATACAACAACAGATATCATTCTTCTATTAAGATGGCTCCTTACGAGGCACTTTACGGTCGTAAGTGTCGTTCCCCTCTTTATTGGGACGACGTCGGTGAACGTCGAGTACTCGGTCCAAAATTGATCGAGGAGACAGCAGAGCAGGTCAAGTTGATCCGGCAGAGACTTAAGACAGCTAAGAGTCGAATGAAATCAACCGCCGATCATCATCAACGAGATATTCAGTTCGAGGTTGGCGAGCGAGCTTTTCTCAGAGTTAGTCTATTTCGCGGAGTTATTCGATTTGGGAAGAGAGGGAAGCTGCACCCTCGATTTATTGGCCCGTTCGAAGTGCTCGAGCGAGTGGGAGACGTTGCTTATCGATTAGCCTTACCTCCCGAGTTATCCAGTGTTCATAATGTTTTTCATGTGTCCATGTTACGTAAGTAAGTGTGCGACCCCGATCATGTCATTCCTCATACTGATATTCAGATCCATCCAGACTTACCCTACGAGGAGCGACCGGTAGCTGTGTTGGACCGACAGGTTCAACGGCTCCGGAACCGATATGTTCCCCTCATTCGTATTCAGTGGGATCGCCACGGAGCCACTTGGGAGCAGGAGGCTGATATTCGCGCTCGTTTTCCTGATTTTCAGTTTTGATGTATATATCTTTCATGTTTCATGTATATATGTTTTGTTTTATATTTCCGAGGACGGAAATATTTTAAGGGGGGCAGATTGTAATATCCCATCATATTATTAATATAATATCATGCTTTGTTCCGAAATATTTATTTTATTCAGCGTTATCGTTCGGAATTATTTATTCAAGTCAAGGACCGTTCAAGTTAATTTTCGAATATCTCGTCATGTTCGGAATAATTTTTCGATAATTAATTCATGTTTAATTGCTCGATAATTAATTTTACCGAGCTTAAGTTCATTCATCATGTATTAATTGTGCTTATTTTAAGCCTAAGCAAGGCTTGCACGGTCAAGCACCATTGCATATGCTTAGCATACGCATAAGCAAGCTTAGCGCGCTTAAGCCTTGCTTAGCACATCTAATGGCCGAGAGTTAAGTCTCTCAAGTTTATTCACGTGAAGTCATCATAGTTAAGGACACATGGAAGTTGGAGAAGGCATTGAGGAGTGACTAAGCTATAGAGATGGTGAGTAAGCACACAAGTGCCACTCTTGGGCACTAGGTGCACGGCAAATGGTGCACGGCCATTGGCCGAGATATTTCATCCCAATTCACCATCGTTTACCTCCCTTTAAAATCTGAAGTTGGGGTGAAAAATCAGAGCATTCTTAAGCTAAACACTTACCCTAATCTAAGTGAGATTAAGAGAGTTTTAAGCATTTCATCGCACACGGCAAGCCACACACGCACACACACGCGGAGAGGGGAGATCACGTCCGGCCTTGCATAATTCAATCGAGTAATTTAGGAGGTATCATAATCCTCAACATCTTTTCATGATTATGAGTTCATGTTATGTCAAATTGTTCAGCTCATGTTCCAAAAGTTTATAGAAATGCGAAGATAGGTTCGGTTTTAGGCCATAGTGGTCGTGACCGAATGAAGTCCATTTTTATCCGGTAACTCCCGAACAATTCATGTTTATTTCATCATTTTAGATCATTTTACACTCAGTTGACTCATGTGAGTCGAAGAAATTTCGTGTTCGGTTGAGAATTTGGCTTAAAGCCAAAGACCGCGCACGGTGCGCATGTCCGCGGCCAAACCCATGTCATGGATCACGTTAGGCCTGATTATTGGGCAAATTAAGTGTGATTATTCATGTTAGTTGAGATCATGATATATTATGAAATTTCATGTTGAGTTGGCCAGAGAAAATCGTCGGACGGCCGATGAGGGTCGGTCGTACTCGTGTTGTTCCGCACGTCGCGGCTGCAGCGTACCGGCAAGTGTGCATGGTGCGAGTGATGCGCGGTATAGTGCCGCGTGCGGTTAGTACCCGCAGCAGGTAGCTGTTGGCGATGCGTATGCGCACGCCAACGCCCGGTCATGCATGCCAGCGTGCGGTAACGCACGCCGCGCAGCGTCGTGCATCAGTGGCCTCGACAGCGCCCGTACGGTGTCAGTTCTGCCCAGCCAACCCCTGTGCGCGCCTTTTAGTGTCCAGCTGCACGTCAAGGTGTGCGGCAACACCCGACAATGCCCAGGCAGGTAGCAGCCGATGCACATAGCATTTGGCAGCACCCCAGGTCATGTCCCATTCACGTCCGCCATGGCCAGGTGCACCTAGCACCCTCGGCCGTGACCAGGGCAGGCACTGCAACGGCCATGCCCGCACCCAGACCGTCAGCAGCCGCGCTCATAGCTGCAACAAGGCCGAGACAGCTGCTGACCGCCTGGTCCCAGCCGACCGGCGGTTCGGCCAAATCGGTCTAGGTCCAGTTCAGTCCGGTTTTACCGGTTTGACCTATATTTTATTATTTCAATCCCGGTCCATGAATTCAGTCTCATTTTCAGTTAAATTCCGGGTCCGGTTCAGTTCAGTAAATTCATGTCAGTTCAGTTCCAATTTTAGCCGGTTCTGGTTATACCGGTTAAATCCGAATATCATGTTTAAGTCCAGTAGAACATCTTAACATATTAAAAAGTTATTTTATCAGTCTGGACATAGTATTTAGTAATTGTTTATATTATTTTTCAGTTTGATCAGGACACGATTATCAGAACTGCCTTTTCAGTCAGACAGTTCAGGTGGGGACTCAGACTGGGTATTACATTGATTATAATTATTCTACCATGTTTGAGGTATGTATTATCAGTATCCGCTCGGAATGGTCGCCGGTCCATTCTGGGTTCTAGTGGCCTTAATCTGACCACTAGAGTGTGCACATGGTGTCCGGCATTAGTATTTTTCTGGCAGATGTTCAGGTATCAGACAGGTGATGACTATCACGACATCAGTATAATATCATGATTATTCAGTACCGGTTTCATGTTCATGTTCATGCCAGAATCATGTTATTGTAATTATTTCACTGTATACTTTAGTATGAGTTTCCACGGAGCACAGTGTATTTTAGTGCTCACGACCCACTTTTATCATGTTTTTCAGGTCATGACGTCGGGCCAGGGGTGTGAGTTGGCGGTCGGTTCACGACTTTTGATCACATGTTTATAAATATTTTGACGATGTTACGTTTCCGCTGTTCATGACTATTTGATGAACTTATCTTTTGCTTAGACTTTCAGTTGGTTAAAATATTAAGTTACACCGTTGTTTTTCTTCAGAAATTTAAATAACGGTTTTACAGATTAAGTTATGGTTCATGGTAGCACTCCGAATCAGTATTTTGCAAACTAATCAGTATTTTTATTTGAAACTGTTTGCGAAAAACGCACTCTGATTTTCATTGTAAGGCGGGGTGTTACATAATATTAATCCAATATAAATAAAATAATAATCCCATATATATAAACATTTATTGCACACAAAATAATTAATTTATATATATATATAGATATATATATATATAATTCACACAATAATATTTATTTAATAATAATAGTCATTTAAACAATTAGACATAATAATAACAATAATAATAATAATAATAATAATAATAATAATAATAATAATAATAATAATAATAATAATAATAATAATAATAATAGTTTGGAAAAAATCATATAATGCCACATATAATAGTTTGAACGAGAAGTCATCCACGACGGCGACGGGGAGATCAAGTCTAACTGCTGTCGAAAGCCGTCTGGGACATGGTGGATCGCGGTCGCCACGACACGGCCTGCACATCTGTCTGCCGCGAGGCACGATGGAAATGGCACGGCTGCTGTCGTCGGAGATGGCAAAATCGAACGGTTGAGGTGGAGCGCCGCAAAATCCCGATTTCTGGCGCCGACAATGGCGAGTTCTGACTGCGGCGGTGCCGAGATGTTGAATGAAGACACGACGACAATGTTGTTGCTAGGAGAATTGTGGGCCTTCTTTTTGAAAATTAGACACTAATCAAGGACTTATATGCAATTTTAGGAATTTTAGTTATATTGCAATTTAATTCATTGGGGTAAACCTATAATTTATTAAAAGTTATAAAATGCATAATAATTATAAATAAAAATCACATGTTACGTTCTTATGGGTAGGCACGTTGAAAATACACATAAACACTTATGTAGATTCATACATATAATTCATATAAAAAATAAAAAATAATATTTTTGTATACATATATATATATATATATATATATATTAAAATAATAAATAAGTATTAAATTTAAAACAATGTAAATACAAAATAATATAAAATAATAAATAAAAAATATTCAATTTATACTAATTTCTTATAATATAAATAATAATTTTTCGATTGTTTAGGTTAACTCGCTTAACCAATTGAATTAACATAAAAAAAACTCACTATGCATATTGAATAATATTGTTAAACAAGATGCATATTAGTGAATATTATACTACCTAATAGTGCTATACCAAATGCACTTTAACACATATGAGAACAAACGTTTATGTTAGCATATATAAGACTACACATTATTGTTATACCAAATTGTTGATATGGCTCATATATTGACAAAGGAAGCAGGCAGGCTGATGCCTGCGAGCGTAACGGAGCGAACGTAGCGAGGGAAGCGGAGCGTAAATCTTGTGTTGTTTACTTTTCTCGTTTTTAATTCGTATGCCATATTGTCATCTTCACTCAACAAGTGGTACCAGAGCCTGGTTGATTGGGCGACGGAGATGACGGGAGGATCGAAATTCGAGGTCCCGAAATTTGATGGTCATGGAAATTTCGGATTACGGCAGACGAGAGTAAAACATTTATTGGCGCAGCAAGGAATTCAAAAAGGGCTGCGCGCAGAAAAGCCAAAGGGGATGGAAGACGATGATTGGCAAGATCTGCAGGAACGGGCGGCCGGGACGATTCAGTTGTGCCTTGTAGATGAAGTTATGTATCACGTTATGCATCTCAAATCGGCGGATGAGATCTGGAAGAAACTGGAATCGCAGTTTATGTCAAAAACCCTAACGACAAAACTGTATCTGAAGCAGAGGTTATACGGGCTGAAGATGCAGGAGGGGACCGATTTAGGGCAACATGTGAATATCTTCAATCAGGTTGTCACGGATTTGGCTTCACTTGAAGCCAAGATTGAAGATGAAGACAAGGCGATGATTTTACTGTGTTTGTTACCTCCTTCTTACGAACATATGGTGACTACCCTTACATATGGGAAAGAAACGATCAAGACTGAGGAGATTACTTCAGCGTTATTGGCTCACAACCAGCAGAAACAGAAATCTGGAGAGTCATCTTCTCAAAGTGACAGTTTATGTGTGAAGGGTAACCAGGATCGTGGAAGGAAACATGTGCGGGAAAATTCAGGAAATCGGAAATTCAGATCCAAGTCGCGAGACAAATCGAAAGGGAGGAAAACTGTGACGTGTTATAAGTGCAAGGAACAAGGGCACTTTAAACGGGATTGCCCAAAGTGGAAGAAACAGACTGCTGATATGTCATCCATGTCTGCGAATGTGGTACAAAATGAGGAATCCGATTGCAGTGATGGAGATATGTTATCTATTTCGACTACGCAGTATGATGATGCTTGGATTCTCGATTTTGGATGTTCATATCATATAATGCCTAACAGAGAGTGGTTTGCTACTTATAAACCAGACAACTCGGGTTCTGTTTTTCTTGGTGATGATAGATGCTGTGGTATTGTCGGTATTGGAGATGTCAAAATCAAGATGTATGATGGAACTGTTAGGACATTATGTGATGTGAGACATATCCCTAAGTTGAAGAAGAATTTGATTTCTTTGGGTACTTTGCATAGAAATGGTTTCATTCCCAAGGCTGATGAGGATAGGGAAACCATTAAGATTGTGAACGGTGCTTTGACTGTGATGAAGGGGAGGATCGCTGCAGGGAACATTTACAAACTGTTGGGAAGTACAGTTGTAGGTGGATTCCATTCGGTGGAGTCGCGTGAAGATAGCACGAAATTGTGGCACATGCGTCTTGGACATCTTAGTGAACATGGCATGACTGAACTGCATAAGAGGGGGCTTCTGCATGGTGTTAAAACTTGCAAACTCAATTTCTGCAAGTTTTGTGTTCTGGGAAAGCAGACAAAAGTCAGTTTCAAGACTGGGAAGAAGAAGACAAAAGGAATTCTGGATTATGTACATTCAGATGTGTGGGGTCCTACTAGAGTGACATCGATTGGTGGTTCTTTGTACTATGTGACCTTTATTGATTATTTTTCGAAGAAAGTTTGGGTGTATTTCATGAAGCATAAATCTGAAGTTTTTGCTAAATTCAAGCTATGGAAGGCTGAGGTGGAGAACCAGACTGGTAGGAAAATCAAGTACTTAAGGTCTGATAATGGTACAAAGTACACCGATTCACAGTTTCAGAAGTTTTGTGAGGAGCATGGTATTCAAAGACATTTTACAGTGCGTAAAACACCATAGCAGAATGGTGTTTCTGAGAGGATGAATCGGACACTGGCTGAGAGGGCGAGGTGTTTAAGACTGAATGCGGGTTTGCCAAAGAGTTTCTGGGCTGAGGCTGTAAGTATGG